AAACTGTTATTTTTGATTATAAAAATCTTGTTTTGATTATAGATTACCTATTTCGGGGGAGCGAAATGTTCTTATTACCTCAGCTCTTCCATATGTAAATAATGTTCCACATTTGGGCAATATAATTGGTTGTGTTCTATCAGCTGATGTCTTTGCTAGGTAAGATCTCCTTACATTGATTATTCTGATTTCAAAGAACCAAAACTAAGGTGTTTTACACTTTTCACAGGTATTGCAGATTGCGTAACTACAACACACTATATATCTCTGGTACTGATGAATATGGGACAGCTACTGAGACAAAGGCATTGGAAGAGGGTTTAACACCTCAAGAGATATGTGATAAATATAATGCTATCCATAATGAAATTTACAAGTGGTTCAACATTGACTTTGATCTTTTTGGAAGGACAACAATACCAGAGCAAACTGAGTAGGTGGTAAACAGTTCATACTGTTGTGCACCTTTTTAGTTTACTGAGTTCTTTGTCCTGTACTTCATTCGTCCCTTCCTTTCAGACTGACGCAGCAATTATTTTTGCGACTTCACAAACTTGGCTTTATGCACACTGAGCCTATGGAACAACTTCTATGCCAAAAATGTGACCGGTAAGTTGCTTTTTAAAATTTGTTTTACAATACACCACAAGCGCCAAGGTTCTATGATGTTGCTCTATGGGTTGATTAGTTCTTTGAAATCAATCAATCTATTCCCTCTTGAATCCTTGGTTGCGGGTTCTCTTGGTTACTACTTCTATAATTTGTATTGTATTTCCTTAGGTTTTTAGCTGACAGATTTGTTGAAGGTACTTGTCCTAAGTGTTCTTTTGATGATGCTCGAGGAGACCAGTGTGATAGCTGTGGGTCTTTGATGAATGCCACTGAGCTTCTCAAACCACGTTGCAAACTGTGTGGTGACACTCCTGTCATTCGTAATTCTGACCAGTTTTTCCTTGATCTACCCAAGGTAATAGTATTTCTTAATTTCTTGTTTACTTTGTGTTCCTGAAGTTGAAACCTTGACAAGTTTGTGCTTTAAATTATTTTATAGATTGAGCCGAAACTGTCAGCCTGGTTTGAAAAATCAAGTGCTGGCTGGACTCACAATGCCCGCGTGATTACTAAATCCTGGATGAAGGATGGTTTGCGTCCTAGATGTATTTCAAGAGATCTGAAATGGGGAATTCCTGTCCCATTGGAGGGATATCGCAATAAAGTATGATGATTCAAAACCTATACTGAGAAGATGTTTACCATGAAGTGAAATGCAGCTTTAAAAACACATCTTTTTCAGGTGTTTTATGTGTGGTTTGATGCTCCTATTGGTTACATTAGTATGACAAAGAGATATACTGACAAATGGCAAGAATGGTGGCAGCCCAAGAAAAATGTAAAAGTGGACTACTTCCAATTTATGGCTAAGGATAATGTTCCATTCCATTCCATTATGTTCCCATCCACACTTTTAGCCGCTGATGAGGGTTATACTGTAGTAACAAATATTATGGCCACAGGTAAACAAATTGTGAAATTGTGTCGAATTTATTGCTTTTTAATAATTCTTAAAATCAATTAATTTTCTTTTTAGAGTATTTGAACTATGAGGATGGAAAGTTTTCCAAGTCACGTGGAACTGGTGTATTTGGTAACAATGCTCAAGACACTGGTATTCCTGCTGATTACTGGAGATTTTATCTTCTATTCGTGCGTCCTGAATCACAGGATTCCAGTTTTTCATGGGATGATCTTGCTCTCCGGATTAATACTGAACTGCTCAATAACTTAGGAAACTTTGTGAACAGGTAGGTTGTTTAGCTTTGAAAAACAACTCTTAGAACTATGTAAATTACTATATGCATGTAATTTAACTGGATTGGTAAATATGTAACAGCACCTTTTACACTGTTTTTAGGGCTCTAATGTTTGTGGAGAAAACCTACAACAGTCAGATTCCAGAGATAACTTTGGAGGAAGACGATATTGTGCTATTAGCTCTTGTTAATAGAGAAATAGCATTATATTCAAAGATGCTTGAAAATGCTAAACTACGTGATGGGTTACGTCACATTTTGTCTATTTCCCGCCACGGTAATCAGTACATTCAATCACAGCAACCATGGGTGAAGGCTAAAGGATCACCTGAAGAACGGTTAGTAGAAATTCTCATAAATATTGTATGTACTGTCATCCCTACTGTTCACTTTCCAATTATTCATTAATTTGGGTTTTAGAAAACGAGCTGGAACAAATGTTGGCCTAGCAGCAAACATTGCGTGTTTGTTGTCAGTCCTACTTCAGCCATACATGCCTCATATATCAAAAGTAATGCAGGAGCAAATGAATAGTCCAAAGTCTGTCAACATTATTACCGATAAATCAATTATGATGCTTCCTCCTGGTCACAAAATTGGAAAGGTACTTGTACCATTATGCATGGTTTTCGTATAGGTTTATGGTTCTGTGATGTTGTTCTTATTTATCTATCTATCTTAAACAGCCTTCACCTCTCTTCACTAAAATTGAGCCTACCATGGCAGAAGAGATGAAGAAGAAATTTGCTGGAAAACAGAAATCTCCACCTCCAGAATCAACTGGAAAGAAAGGTGGAGCTGCAGTTAGTTCAGATACTGTTGTCCAGCTTCAGGCTGCAGTTGACAAACAGGTCAGACATTGTTTGTACTTCTCATAAATTACATATAATTATAATTCATCCACTTTAATAATTAATTGATTGGTGTTTCTTTCCCAAGGCCAATCTTGTTCGAGAATTGAAATCAGCAGGCAAACCGAAAGCTGAATGGCAACCTCAAGTTGCTACTCTTCTTCAACTAAAATCTGATCTTGCTGCCGCCCAGAAGATTGCCCAGGATCAAGCTCAGTCTAAGTCTGTACCAGCTGGAGGAACCTCTGAAACTCTTCAATCACTGCAAGCTGCTGTGGATAAGCAGGTGAAATACACTTTCTTCCATCAAGTGTTTTCAGTTTACTTAGAAATTTGTAATTAACCTTGTAGTTTTTTTCTAAACATTTAGGCAAATGTTGTGAGAGAAATGAAAGAAGCTGGAAAGCCTAAATCTGAATGGCAACCCCATGTAGCAACTCTTCTCCAACTTAAGGCTAATCTAGCAGCTGCTCAGAAAGCAGCGCCCTCCGCCCCAGTAGCTCCCAAAGCAGAACCAGCCAGCCCTCCTGCCTCTAACGTCAGTGAACTAGAAGAAGCTGTTAAACAGCAGGTACACATTTACAATCCACTGTGCTTGTTAAATTAGAAAAATTATCTAACCAAGCCAAACTTTTAACAGTTTCTAACAATTTTTATTTTTATTTAGGGTGAACTTGTTAGGCAAATGAAAGGTAGTGGAAAAAGTAAAGAAGAATGGCAACCAGAGGTAAACAAGTTACTTCAACTCAAACAGCAGTTGTCAGCTCTTCAGCCCTCAACAGCCTCTGCGGGTTCTGTAGATAACAAACCACCTCAGTCATCCGGGAGCGGCAAAAGTAAGAACAAGAAGAAGAAATGACATCGGCGTTAAACTGCACCAAATTGGAGACATGACATAAAATCAGAGGTGCAGTCTTTACCTGTCTTAAACGCCAGTGTAAACAAAATATCAAATTTAGGGAAGCTTTCAGTGAAAATTTATTTATTTATCTTACTTGAAAGTACTTGATTAATTGTAATCATATGATGGTTGTGATTTAAGGTTTCGTATGAACTTTTAGTTGAAAGTATTACTGCCCTTTCATGTCCAAAATGATTTTCAGAAGAAAATAGTTGACATTTGAATAATGAGGCATAAGGTGTCAATGAAATACAGCTATTTTCTAAGACACAGAATGTTTTTATTGAGTATTTTACAATAAAAATATAAATCACCAGTAGAGGTCAAACACTTTTCAACTTGGCATAGAAATTGGTTACCTCATAATTACAAACATTTGAAAACTTCCACTTCAGAAATGTATGACATGATGACTGCTCAGCATGAACGATATTATTCCTAAAATATTATCGAATGCATCTAACAGTCTATAGTCCTGGCAGACTTCTCAGTTTGTGTGCAAAGTTAATGAGGGCAAGGATGGTGCTGACATTTGCTCTATGTTTGACTCAACTACACATTATTTACACAAGAACACAGTTCACATTGGTAGGTATTCAGGCAGCTCTAAGTCTTATCTAACAAGAAGTTTAAAGTTACAATTACCAACGAAATCACAGATGCATTCTTCCATCTGAGAATGTTGTGAGATACTCTAATTGTATAACAATAATTGAGCTGAATTGAGCATATGCAATAATTATGTGATATTATTTAAATCAATAGATTCTTAATTAGTAGTTGTACTATTAAACTATTATTATAGACTGTGGAAAATAATCTTAGTTTAGGGCACTGCTAAAGGAAGGTAAGACGTTCCCATCCACACTTTTAGCCGCTGATGAGGGTTATACTGTAGTAACAAATATTATGGCCACAGGTAAACAAATTGTGAAATTGTGTCGAATTTATTGCTTTTTAATAATTCTTAAAATCAATTAATTTTCTTTTTAGAGTATTTGAACTATGAGGATGGAAAGTTTTCCAAGTCACGTGGAACTGGTGTATTTGGTAACAATGCTCAAGACACTGGTATTCCTGCTGATTACTGGAGATTTTATCTTCTATTCGTGCGTCCTGAATCACAGGATTCCAGTTTTTCATGGGATGATCTTGCTCTCCGGATTAATACTGAACTGCTCAATAACTTAGGAAACTTTGTGAACAGGTAGGTTGTTTAGCTTTGAAAAACAACTCTTAGAACTATGTAAATTACTATATGCATGTAATTTAACTGGATTGGTAAATATGTAACAGCACCTTTTACACTGTTTTTAGGGCTCTAATGTTTGTGGAGAAAACCTACAACAGTCAGATTCCAGAGATAACTTTGGAGGAAGACGATATTGTGCTATTAGCTCTTGTTAATAGAGAAATAGCATTATATTCAAAGATGCTTGAAAATGCTAAACTACGTGATGGGTTACGTCACATTTTGTCTATTTCCCGCCACGGTAATCAGTACATTCAATCACAGCAACCATGGGTGAAGGCTAAAGGATCACCTGAAGAACGGTTAGTAGAAATTCTCATAAATATTGTATGTACTGTCATCCCTACTGTTCACTTTCCAATTATTCATTAATTTGGGTTTTAGAAAACGAGCTGGAACAAATGTTGGCCTAGCAGCAAACATTGCGTGTTTGTTGTCAGTCCTACTTCAGCCATACATGCCTCATATATCAAAAGTAATGCAGGAGCAAATGAATAGTCCAAAGTCTGTCAACATTATTACCGATAAATCAATTATGATGCTTCCTCCTGGTCACAAAATTGGAAAGGTACTTGTACCATTATGCATGGTTTTCGTATAGGTTTATGGTTCTGTGATGTTGTTCTTATTTATCTATCTATCTTAAACAGCCTTCACCTCTCTTCACTAAAATTGAGCCTACCATGGCAGAAGAGATGAAGAAGAAATTTGCTGGAAAACAGAAATCTCCACCTCCAGAATCAACTGGAAAGAAAGGTGGAGCTGCAGTTAGTTCAGATACTGTTGTCCAGCTTCAGGCTGCAGTTGACAAACAGGTCAGACATTGTTTGTACTTCTCATAAATTACATATAATTATAATTCATCCACTTTAATAATTAATTGATTGGTGTTTCTTTCCCAAGGCCAATCTTGTTCGAGAATTGAAATCAGCAGGCAAACCGAAAGCTGAATGGCAACCTCAAGTTGCTACTCTTCTTCAACTAAAATCTGATCTTGCTGCCGCCCAGAAGATTGCCCAGGATCAAGCTCAGTCTAAGTCTGTACCAGCTGGAGGAACCTCTGAAACTCTTCAATCACTGCAAGCTGCTGTGGATAAGCAGGTGAAATACACTTTCTTCCATCAAGTGTTTTCAGTTTACTTAGAAATTTGTAATTAACCTTGTAGTTTTTTTCTAAACATTTAGGCAAATGTTGTGAGAGAAATGAAAGAAGCTGGAAAGCCTAAATCTGAATGGCAACCCCATGTAGCAACTCTTCTCCAACTTAAGGCTAATCTAGCAGCTGCTCAGAAAGCAGCGCCCTCCGCCCCAGTAGCTCCCAAAGCAGAACCAGCCAGCCCTCCTGCCTCTAACGTCAGTGAACTAGAAGAAGCTGTTAAACAGCAGGTACACATTTACAATCCACTGTGCTTGTTAAATTAGAAAAATTATCTAACCAAGCCAAACTTTTAACAGTTTCTAACAATTTTTATTTTTATTTAGGGTGAACTTGTTAGGCAAATGAAAGGTAGTGGAAAAAGTAAAGAAGAATGGCAACCAGAGGTAAACAAGTTACTTCAACTCAAACAGCAGTTGTCAGCTCTTCAGCCCTCAACAGCCTCTGCGGGTTCTGTAGATAACAAACCACCTCAGTCATCCGGGAGCGGCAAAAGTAAGAACAAGAAGAAGAAATGACATCGGCGTTAAACTGCACCAAATTGGAGACATGACATAAAATCAGAGGTGCAGTCTTTACCTGTCTTAAACGCCAGTGTAAACAAAATATCAAATTTAGGGAAGCTTTCAGTGAAAATTTATTTATTTATCTTACTTGAAAGTACTTGATTAATTGTAATCATATGATGGTTGTGATTTAAGGTTTCGTATGAACTTTTAGTTGAAAGTATTACTGCCCTTTCATGTCCAAAATGATTTTCAGAAGAAAATAGTTGACATTTGAATAATGAGGCATAAGGTGTCAATGAAATACAGCTATTTTCTAAGACACAGAATGTTTTTATTGAGTATTTTACAATAAAAATATAAATCACCAGTAGAGGTCAAACACTTTTCAACTTGGCATAGAAATTGGTTACCTCATAATTACAAACATTTGAAAACTTCCACTTCAGAAATGTATGACATGATGACTGCTCAGCATGAACGATATTATTCCTAAAATATTATCGAATGCATCTAACAGTCTATAGTCCTGGCAGACTTCTCAGTTTGTGTGCAAAGTTAATGAGGGCAAGGATGGTGCTGACATTTGCTCTATGTTTGACTCAACTACACATTATTTACACAAGAACACAGTTCACATTGGTAGGTATTCAGGCAGCTCTAAGTCTTATCTAACAAGAAGTTTAAAGTTACAATTACCAACGAAATCACAGATGCATTCTTCCATCTGAGAATGTTGTGAGATACTCTAATTGTATAACAATAATTGAGCTGAATTGAGCATATGCAATAATTATGTGATATTATTTAAATCAATAGATTCTTAATTAGTAGTTGTACTATTAAACTATTATTATAGACTGTGGAAAATAATCTTAGTTTAGGGCACTGCTAAAGGAAGGTAAGACCATACAGAAACTCACATTAAAGTTGCATATGCTCTATGGCATGCTTCTGCATTCTTCAGACTCTAACCATGCTAATATAAATAGAATTTAAATAGATACATTGCAAACTTAGAATTATGTTGCAGGGAACTTGGTATAAAGTTTGAAATGGCAGATACAAATATGCAGATGGCAGAGAAGTGACTGGCAAGTTTTATTTTCCTTTTGATTTGAAATGAAATGACATTTGTCTTATGATAGTAAAATTCCTTGTATCAAGAAACAATAATTACAAACAATAAATAAAGTCTAGCATTAAGTCAACCATTAAACATAATTTACAACCCATTTACGAAATGCAGGAAATCTCATTGCTTTTTTTCAGATCCAAAAGATTACAAATACACTCTAAGGTCATGTGACTCAACACATACCCTTAATGTTTGAAAAAAACAAGAAAACATTTAAAGCTTCAAACCATAGGGAGCCATTTGCTCCCTTTTTTTGCAGCGACAATTCTTATGAATAGCTGAGCAAATTTGTTGCCATATTTACAAATAACTGTCATACACAATCTCTTCCCTGTACAAGGAACTACAGTAAAAAATACTTTCAAAGTGAAAAAATATCATCTGCTATACAAAGTTAAATTTTTAAAAAGTGTTTTGAATTAAACTGCATATTTTGGGAAACTGCATCAAATCAGCTCGATAATCCCCACTGTACTCTAGACAGGACGACTAGATCTTCATCAGGTTTTATACTGGAGTTAAAATAGGGTCAGTACACTATACCATAGGATGAAGAACAAATAATAAAATGGAAGAGCCATGTACGACCGCGCTATGAGCAGTGGTTGCAGTGGTAACATGGATTGTTTCAATTATATGTCCTTGAAAACATGCCATAAACACACTCACTCAAACACAGACACTCGTTCCACGGCGTTTCTTCGAACACCGTGAGCAAAATAATAAAACAACAAACAACAAAGCACATGGGCGTCCGGATCACCCCCACCCCCACTGGTGGCGCAGGGCGCGCTGCGCTGGGCCCCCGATCGGGGCCGGGATGCATACTGGGCTTTGGCACGGCGGGGCGGCGGGGCAGGGAAGACCGGATGTCAGTCGTCGCACTTAAGGTTGAGTTCGTGCCGGCTCTGGCTCTCCCTGCGGCCCCGGAGGCCCCTGACGGTGAGCTTCTCATCCGCCACCTGCGAACACAGAGGACAGCGCTTGGTCAGAGGAGGGCGGATCGGGACATGCGAGCGAGAGTCGGCCAAGTCCCCGCGACGGAAAGTCCATTCTGACCCATTCAGTGAAACCTAGAACTTCCCACCATCATGAACCTAACACCACACCACCCACACAAAACCAACAATCATGCTTCAGCAATAGCGCCGATCGCGAAAGAACCGCACTTCCCGAGCAGCGAGTACAGTACAACAGCATTTTGCCTTCACGGCGCAGTTGGGAGCGTTCACTCTGCAAGTGGAAGGTCGGAGGTTCAAATACCAATCATACATCTTTTGCCCCATTCAGCTGTCCAGCCAGCGACGGAGCAGAAACGCACGCGCCTCCCAGCAGCGGCGCCGTCGGGCCAAGGATCGACTCCCGGTCGGCGCTACCATTTTTTTACCGACACTTTTTGTCTCCCGTAAAATAGGATCGAGTCCCGCACATTTCGGACAGTGGATCAGCTGGCAGCCAAGGGTGCTTAGGCGTGGACGATCAGCTACAATCGGCCGCGAGATCGACACCCGGTCGGTGCATTTCATTGTTTCGCTTCTTGCCTCTTGTAAGGAAGGGCCGAGTTCCGAACGACGCTGTGTAAGAACCAGCTGTCAGCCGAGCGTGCTAGGGCGTCAATCACAGGCGGCCGGCTCGAGGTTCGACTCCCGCTCGAGGGGGGTCATTCTCTTTTGTCGCCTCTTGTGTTCGAGTTGTGGTCAGATTGTGCGATTGCCGCCGGCA